TATATATATATATATAATGTATGTATGCATTACTGTATTTTTTTATGGGTTTGACATTTGCATCATACCCTCTGAATAAGTAAAGAGTCCCATGAAAACTCCTACTGTTGTACATTTCCTCTGTGTTCCATTTTGGTATGTAAAATTTCTACTGCCGAATAAAATAAACCCATCGTGTTCTCATGCCATCAATGTTGGCTTTAATGTTGGTCGCAACGTTCCTTTTCCTGGTTTTTTCGGAACTTAAACATAAATTATATATAGGGAAATGTATATTATTCCAATTATTTACTTTTTTTTTTTGTTGAAATCGAGCATGCGGTTATTATCAGAAATGTATTTCATCTACTAACCTTATAATTGTGAATTTCTCATATTATTCTTTGTAATTTTTTGACAAATTTAATTTATAGCCATCAATTTTCTTTCTTCGACTTTTTTCTATCTTTTATTTATTGGTACGAATTCTATACTAATCCCGCGAGAAAATTATTGAGATCTATTATGACAATCACTACAAAAATTCGTGAAATTTGGTCAAATAGAGTTCGAAGTTATATATTAGGTCTGTTACGCTTCAAATTTTGCCACACAATTTATTTTGACGGCAGAAATCGCTACACATCTGATAAATTTTTTTCAATCGAGATTTATTTTGAGCATTGATGGATTTGATGGATTACTACGTTTTTTTGTTATATTTCGAGAATTACAGTGAACCACAAATGAGTCGTAGAGTCAAATAAGTCATATCTAGTCCCAAAAAATCGCAGAATGGCATGAGTCACATGAATCGTATGGCCCAGAGTGGCATGAGCGCGTGAGTTTATCAAGTGACATGACTTACGAGACACATGAGTTATACGAGTCGTAGAGACGCATGAGTTATATGAGTCGCACGAGTCTGAGAGTCATGAGTTTCGTGACTCATACATATGACTCGTGCGACTCATATAACTCATGCGTCTCATATGATTCATGTGTTGGATTTTCTGTGATCTGATGTATACGATTCACACTTTATACATAGATACGGTCCTAGAGTTTATGAAATGCAAGATAAAACATGAATTTTCTAACCTAGAAAATGAACGTGCATGCTATAGATCTCAAAGATCGAAAATTTAGATATTGGCCTTTTGAATATGTGAAATTCAATAATCAAGCGATCTAGAATATGTAGAAATGTTGATTCACAATCATCACGAGGTGATGATGATGTTAGGTTTTTAATTACGGGTTCCTAGCATATGAGTTTATCAAATCGAGTTAGGGTTGATTTTTAGATTTCACACAGCGAAAGGAATAACAAAACCATCACATCAATTATCATACAAACCTGAAGAACGTATATATCATAGTGGAAATCAAATATTTAACGTGAATTTGATGTAATCTTGAAATAGAACGATCCAGGGTATGTACATCATCTTGCTTGGCGAATCATCTACACTACAAAAAAAAAGTTTTTCGTTGCAAAATAGGGTTTACAACAAAATTGCAACGAAAAAATTTTCGTTGCAAACCAATATAGTGTTTCAATTCGTTGCTAATTGCAACGCTTTTACAACGAAAGAACTGCGTTGTTAATTTTGTAACGAAATTGCGTTGCAAAATTAGCAACGCAATTTTGTTACTAAAATTAAAATAAAAATAAAAATAATTTAGAATTTCAGGTTTTTTTGAAGAATTAAATTAAAATTTAAAAATTAATCAATTAAAAAAATATTAATAAATACAAATATTAAATAAAAATAATATAAATATTAAATAAAGATAATATATATATATATATATTTTGTAGAATTATAAAGTTTATTTAAGAGTTATAAATTAAGATTTATAAATAAATAATTAACAAAATAATAAAATATATTTTTATTTGATTTTTTTTAAGAGTTGGGATAGAAAAAGATTTTAGATAATTTTTAAAGTGAGAAGTTGTTGATGGATTGTGTTTAAATTATGTTTGGATATTGAATATATGGAAAAACATTGCAACGCAATTTCGTTGCAAATCCAATTAGCAACGAAATTTTGTTGTAAAAGGCGTGAAAACGGTAATCAATCGTAGCCACAAATTTATTTTAAATTTGCAACAAAATCTTTTTGCTAATTGGATTAGCAACGAAATTGCGTTGAAAATTAGCAACAAAATTACGTTGTAAATCCAATTAGAAACGAATATGTGTTACAAATTTCTGTATTTACTTTTTCGATGGTCAAATTATATTAATTATTAAATGATAATATTTACAATGAAATTGTTACGTTATAAAGCGTTGCAAAATTCGTTGCTAATCATTGCTAGTTTGCAATAAAATAATTTTATAACGATTTTGCAACGCAAAAATTGCGTTACAAATTAGCAGTGAAATTATTGCATTGCAAAACGTTGCTAATTGCAATAATTTTTTTGCAACAATTTACCATCGATTTAGCAATGAAAAATTATTGCAAATTAGCAACGAAATTATTGTGTTGCAAGTTAGCAACGAAATTATTGCATTGCAAAGCATTGCTAATTGCAATAAAAAAATTTTGCAACGATTTTGCAACGCTTTAGCAATGAAAAATTTCGTTGTCAATTTGCAACGAAAATTTCGTTACAAAACGTTGCAATTTCGTTGCTAACTTTGCAATGAAATACATTTCGTTGTTAATTTCGTTGTTAATTGTCTGTTTTTTGTAGTGCTATTTCATGGAAAACGAAGAAGCATAGTATCGTTTCGCGTTCGTCGTCTGAAGCAGAATATCATGTTATGACACAAACATGTTGTGTGTTTAAATGGTTATACCAACTTATAGAGATTTTCGGGATTGATGTTTCGATTCCTACTATTTTATTATGTGACAATCAATCTACTCTACATATTGCTCAGAATCCGGTGTTTCATAAAATATACCAAACACATTGAGATCAATTATCATTTTACTCGTGACAAATTCAGTACAGGACGAGTGTCAGTTCCATACATTCAGAAGTCGTGGATATATTCGCCAAGGTGATCGTTAGACACACATTTGATCATCTTTTCTCCAAGTTGGATATTCTTGATCTTCATGCTCCAACTTGAGAGGGTATTAGGGATATATATGAATATATGTTGATCTTATCTTATAGATATACTTTGCGTAAGTAGTTTTTAAATAGGTTTTTAATTCTCTATCTTTATATACATTGTTTTGGGTTGAATAGAGAAATACACACGATTATTCCGATTTATTTTGTCACTGCATTTGGTGACTAATGCGACTAGCTAACTCTATTTGAACATGTCGATTCTTCGTAGAAAACACGAAAATCTTTACTGCATTGGGAAGTCACAAATCCTAAACAACATCAAATTCCAAATCCAAAACTACGAAATCATAACCTAACGTATTATTCTTGCTTTGACGATCCGTTCGCTTTTAATGTTAGATGACGACGATGACTTGACACCCGATGAGTTAGAAGATCTAACCATTTCAATTGTATTATTTGAAGAAAAATTCACTTGGAAAAATTGTTGATTGAGATGAAATCCTCTTCTTTTTTTTTTCTTTCTCACATGTCTCTCGTCTTCTTCATACGCATTCTCTCACACAATTTAAAATGGGATAAAATCGTCTTTTCCTTATTTAAAAAAAAACTTTTTTTTTTTCTTTCTCACATGTCTCTCGTCTTCTGCATACGCATTCTCTCACACAATTTAAAATGGGATAAAATCGTCTTTTCCTTATTTAAAAAAAAAAGAGTTTTGGAAGATAGTTATTGAACTCATGATCATCAAGGGGGGAGTTTTTTTTTTTTTTATACATGAATGAAACCTAAAGGAAGATGCCAAAGTGGAAAGTGGTCTCTGTTCATGTCTCAAGTTTTAGTTTTTTCTTTTACGGATGTATAATTGGGCATGAAATGCGAAGCCCAGATTAAACGGGCCTCAATGTCTTGATGGGCCGGGTCGAGTACGGGTATGGACTCGGGTCTCGGGTCTAATTGTGAGCATCAAGGCGTACGGACGGACTGAACCTCAAAACACCAGGGTTTAAGCATTGAAAGAGGAGAGTGGCAAGAGGTGGTGGTTGATCATTTTGGTTAGGTTCAGTAGCCGGCATGACCAAATCGAAGAGAGACAGACAAGGTATTTCTTCTATCTTCTTCTTGTGTTCTGTATCAATTCCATCTTTACCTTCCTTTTTCAGCTGTTGCTCCGACAAGCTGTTGGGTTTCTTAACCTCCTAGGGTTTAGGGTTTCACGATTTATTGGGACCCTGTGGTGAATTACATATAGGGTAGCGGCGAATTCTATGTTCCACCTTGAAATGTGCCTGAATGGCTGAATTTTGAATTTCTGTTCTCAGTTACTCTGCCAAAGACGAAGAGGAAAGGAAGGGAGCATAAGGAGTCTATTGTGAATGGAATCCGGGAGGCTGTTGAAAATCTCAATTCCGTCTATGTTTTCTCGTTTGATAACACGAGGAATTCCAAATTCAAGGAATTCAGGGAGCAGCTCCACCCCCGTGGGGGGTCGGCTTGTATATCCCTTTCCTCTCTGAGTCTGTTCTTGATTCAATGGTTGTCCTAAAAGGGTAATTAGTTATAAAAAGAGTTTGTTTTTGTGTGCGTGTACAGATAATACAACCGAAAACAATAGAATTTAAGCATGGTTTTCAGTAAAGTTTCCCGAAATCGTGACAGGAGTAGGAGCAGTCTGGCGAAGCCCTGATAGAATTTAAAATGCTCGAGTTGGTTGTTTTGTACAAGCCTTGTTTGGCAATGTGGTTCAGTTCATGTTCCTGGCAGGTTCTTTCTTGGCTCAAACAAAGTCATGCAGGTCGCTCGGCTTCTGATGAGATCTGACTGGGCATTTTAAAAGCTTCCAAGGTTTGTGTGCTTTTCTTATCACCATTGTTATCTATCGGCAGCTTCCTTCAGTTACTTATCCTAGAATGTTGCTCTAGCTGTTTCGTGGGGATGCTGGACTTTTCATGACAAACATCCCAAGAGAGGAGGTCGAAAGGTATCCCAGAGGCTCTTCTTTTTTCGTAATTGGATGGAAAGAACAGTGAGCAGTTTTTTAGATTGTTTCATTCTGTTACCTCTGTTTGTAAGGACCGGAGGCACTGCAGTAGAAATGGTAAATACTCTCTCGACATACTCTTATTTTCTGTATAACAAACTTGCAAGCAAGCTTTACCACAAAAATTATCCCGTAGTTCACCGAATTCCCTCATTCAATCTCCTTAATACACCCTAAAATAACCGCAGGTTGAACTCAAGGAGGGTCCTCTAGAGCAGTTCACGCATGAGATGGAGCCTTTCTTGCGCAAACAGGGGATGCTTGTTCGACTAAACAGAGGTTTATGGTCTTACCATTCTGAATTATCCTTAGTTTTTCTCGTCCACACGGCAAAACCCTTTGCCCGGACACTCATGCTTGTTCAATTTACAGGTGCAGTGGAGCTGCTCTCAGACTTTGTTTATGTGAAGAAGGGAAACCTCTCTCACCAGAGCCTGCTCGGATTTTGTTTCGACTCTCTTCCTTCAAAAACCCTTTTTCTCGAAAGAAAGATCGGTAAAGAGACATTTTCCTTAAAAGGGTTTGTTAATTATGCAGCGTTTGTTGGGGATAAAGGTGGCTACATTCAAGCTGAACTTAGTCTGCAGATGGAGCTCTGATGGCTTCGAGCTCTACCGAGAAGGTTTGGATCTCTCTTGAATCATCTTAATACAGGGATCATCTCCAAACCCAGATTTTCTAGCTTTAGTTTCCAACATCTTTTCTTCAGTCGGTTCCCTTTTCTCTTTCGATTTTTTGTTGATGGAATGTCCCCACTGTGTGTGTGTTGAAGCAGTCGTTCATGTGTACTTTTGCGTCTAATCCGGATCTCTGTGTTTGAGATATGGAGCAACATTTGTAATGGTCTCACATCATTGTGCATTTTTTTCCAAAAGTATTATTTCGAATAATACGCCAAAACCAATATAGATATGCATATTAGAATATGATTATACGGTTCATTTCGATAAACAATGATGTTACAAGTTATTTCTTCAAAACTGGAGCAACTATTTATATATATATATATGTATGTATGTATATATAATACTGGAGTGAATCTTGTACAGTCGTATGGGATGATCTCTGCAATACCAAACCAGATCTGTGTTTACTAAAAGAACAATCGAAAAATCCATATTTTTTTGAAAGTAAATATATTAATTTAAGAAAATTGAGTCAATCAGTAATAAAAAAAATATAATATAAAAGTATTTTTTTTAAGCTAAAAATAAATAATCAAATTCTAACCTAAATCCGAAGGAGAAAGGGGAAAGGTCTTTTCATTTCCCTAACACAAAAACAGGGGGTCCCTCTTTCAACACCTCCTCTTTCTTTTTCTCTTTCTCGACTATGTCGGATTTTGTCTTGTCTTTTATATCTAGAATTTATTTTCTAAATACAATAAATAATATGATAAAAAGAAAAAGGAAAGGAAAACGGGCTTGGAAGTGGGGAAAAATTGCAGAGAGTGCCATGGATGGACCAAACTCTTTGGTGGCCAAAATAGCCGGAAAGAAAAAAAGTTAACAGTGGTGAGGTATAGAAAGTGAAGCAGATGGCCCCTCTTCTCTCTCCAATTACAATTGTTTTCCCAAAATTAATAAAACAAACAAATATAAATTGCTTTCCCCCCCCTTTGATTACGTGAATTAGATTGGGGTTTTTCTTCCTTTTGATTAAGTGAAAAACATATGTTTTACCAATTTGTGATGACCAAAAGTCTTATCAGAATGATTTATGATATTTGGATATAACTTATAACTAAATTATCAAACCACTCTCTAAGAAAATTAGTTGATCTCACGTAAATCTCCGAGAGAAGAAAACAAGTGGGAAAACAAGTATTCAAGATTGATCAGTTCAACTGGTAAAGAAGAGAACAAAATGTTGAAATAGGAAAATGAATATGTGATCGAAGGAAATATTGATTTTAAGATATGATTAGAAATAATAATGAACATAATATTATATCAAATATTGTGTATCGATCTTATTTATTTTTATTTTCTTTTTATTTCGTCTTATAGTTTTCCTATAGATATGTGAGTCATTTTCATTGTAATTCAACAAAAAGAAGAAGAGATGTAGCAATAAAAATAATTCTGTTCCTTTCTATTTGTCTTATTTTATTTCCGCATTTTATTTTTCTACATGGTATCAGAGCAGCGTTGCGATCTGGACTATATATATATATTTTTTTTAATTTTTTGATCTCTTCTTTCTTGCGTTTTGGATGTTCATATATCCAAATCGTTCAAAAGAGAGTAAAAATCCAAATTCAAACGATGTGCTATGATAAACAAAAATCAAAGCTAAAAACTCTAAGATCAAGCAAGATGCTATAACAAAAAGAATTAAAGCTAGAACTTTAAAGTCAAGCGAAGTGATTTGAAAATGGTTAATACTCTCTAAAAGAACAAAATTTAGTGTTTTTCCAGAGACAATGAAAATATCTGAGCGGTTTATAGCATTCATATTCCATACCATAATAAATAAACCCTAATTATTATTTTTTTGACATGGCATGCATCTCAATGCATATTTTGGTACTGCAGTATTACAGGATTTTTCGGTATTTTATATATAATATTATTGTAAAAATTATCAACTTCACTGTGGTTAGAAAACATTTCGTAAAACAAGTTTATATGGCACGAAACTATTAAATTACGTGGGTAAGGTCATATCAATAATAGTTTTTCTCTCGACTCCAAGATTTAATAGAACGTTGGATTTTTGCCCATAACATAATGATTTTTTTTTACGTACGAATCATCCAAAGTAATCAATGACAATTCGGTTTCGACATTTATTAAATATTGGTTTTTTTTTATGGTTTTTATCTGTCGACGATATAAGACACATTCCGCCATTAAAATCACTTCAAAAGAATCCAAACATATATTATTTCCATGTAGTTTGATGTTATTTTAAATATTTATTCCTAAACAAAATAGCAATCCCTATAATAATTCCAGTTTATATTAATTTTTTTATACTCATAAAGTTTACCGGAGACTTCCATCTATTTAATACTCTTGATCCACAATCAACATGTAGTTACGCAATTAATTATGCCTCTTCTCTCTATCAGTGGATCGAACCCAAACATTAAATGGTTTTGTTACCCTTTATACCACTACACCACCAATTAGTAGATCACTTTATATTAGTATAAGCTCTCAAACCCAATTTCTCGTTCTATCAAATATCCTTTTCTCTAGTTTATAAATTGCTTTGCATAGAATATAAGGAGTCCCAGTACTTCCAATAAGCAATTGATACTCGAAGATTCCAATTAGATCATACACTCTCCTACTATCAATCATCTAACCCCGCAAATGACCCGATTCAGTGATTGTGTGCATACATAATACTCAAGATTGGGTGGTTCAACCGGTAAGAAAAGGAGCAAAGCTCCTTCGTAACGCGGATTCGAATCCTCATTTGGGAATGTGCATTCACATGGACTTTTCCGATCTTCTAGGAGATGTAATCGGGACAAAAATCCGGCGAACTTCCAAATTATCCAAAAAAAAAACATTGGGTTATGACAGCTTCTCACGAACCTCCTTCTCACATGGACGGACAAGCAAACCTCCCCACCCCATAGCCAAGAAACTTATCCGTGCCTTGTCCAATGATCCATGGCTTCTAAACTATCCAAACATTTATGCTACATTTGATGCTCTCTTACTCTCGGATCGCTCTCCATGTACTGTTCATACTATCCATCATATAATCTTTAACCCGAATTCTTTTAAGATTTTTAACTTCCTAACCCAAAAGCAAAAGTTTCTACCAGTGGGTGAGGAAGCATGGGTTATGGTGGGGCAAAGGGTAGAAAATCTCTCTCAATTCATTGTGAAAATTTTATATGAGTAATAAATCAACCTTTGCAACAACCAAAAATTGAAGAAAACCATAGGAATGATTAATGATGGAGACATAGACATGATAAATATGTAAAATAGTAAGTTTCTATTTTGAAAGGTATGTGATAACTTGTAACCGCAGTAACTATTCAATTTCAGAACACTTTAGCCAAAAAAGAGTAATAAAATAAAAATGTGGAGAAGACGATAGAAGGCTTTAAGAAAAGGCGAAGAAGGTAAGCTCGTGAGTTGGAAGCGTTTTATGAGAGGTTGACTGATGCCTGTCTACTAACTTTGGCACTGAAATTCATGGCGTTTTTTAAATAAAAGGAAACGACACCCATTTCTCTCCTCTGAAAACGACGTCTACTTCGCCCTTCCTCTTTTTTCTTTTGATGATGGATACATGTGCATGTATGCGGATTTATACATATATATATATATATACACATCTATTTGTTCGACATTGATGTTGGCCTTTCATTAATGGGTGGGTATCTTTGAATTTATTCCTCCCATTTTCTAGCATATATATATATATATATATGATGGTCCCAAAAAATATGCAAGTACGCCCAAAAAATAAGATCTATTTTTTATTTTGTGCACGACAGAATTTCATAGAGTCCACTAGTTGTATTGCTGCACGAACTCTCATTGCGCCATTAGATATTTGTTTCTCTCTCTCAATACCTCGCATGTGATGCAAACGGATTTCGAGGATTTGAGTAAAAAAAAAAGTTAAAAAATGCGACGATAATAGATATATATGGTATAGATTCGATATGATACATATCAAAATATTTTTAAACAGTGAAAAGGAAACCATGTTTATGGAAATATTTTTCTAAGAAAAAAATCTAAACAACCGAAACCCTAGATAAAAAAAACGACATGACGTCGTCATAGATACGTTATACAAGATCCGGTATGATATTTTATTACATGAAAATTTCAATAGGATATTAGTGAATATTGAAGATATAACTTGTATCAGTTCCAACACCGTATAGATTTTATATTTTCTCCAAAAGCTATAAAACAGTAATGTAATATAATTAAAAAAAAAACAGGACGAAAAGACATTACCTTTGTACGTATAGTCATATATATTACGAACTTACCACATCCATGTGTCAATGCAATAATGCTTCATCGCAACCGCTGGTCCTTTTCCTTGTGTATTAAACCACACATGTAAACGCACTTGAAGATGCTTTTTCTTCTTCCCTTTTTAATTTATTCAGCATATTATATATACCCTTTATCTATCCATATTTTTTTTGTCGGTCCAGTTATATTTTATTTTTAACCCTCTTTTTTAGGTTACTTAGCCATTAATTACAACATTCACGGTTAACTCTTATTTCCGAAATCCAACCTCGATAGTTCAACCGGTGAAACAAAGGTGTAAAGCATACGTCTCGCCCCAAATTCGAACCCCAGATTGGAGAGGAGGTATTCACATGACTTCCCTCCGGTCCCCGGATTAGTCTGGACCTCGACCCAGAATACCCGGTTACCCAAAAAAAAAAACTCTTGTCTCCGAAAATTTAACAGTGAGGTCGGTCTATCAACAATGATGACCTCTGTACTTATATTTTTCTCCTCATATTTACATTTTTTTTTATATACATTTACATATTTTTTTTATAATCTAAAAATTTATTAGATCTTTAATCCAATTAAATTTTTCGAAGGATCGTAAAAATCTATGTAAATATAGTGGATAATCAATCTGGATTGATAAAGAGTTTTCCTTTTTTCCTCATAAATTGAGTCACCCAATTTTGATTATCGCTCATTTTGTTCGCAACACCTTTTATATCCTAAATCCTAATGATTTATCGTTTTGAAATATCATTTTTAATTTGGTCTCCAAAAGAAATAAAGAATGATGAGAGAGAGAGAAATAAGAGGTGTAAAGACAACAGTCGAAATATGGTTAGTCGTGATAATGATTAGTCTTCCGTCAGGAGAAACTTAGGAAGTACAAACATCGAACTCCATGTGTTAACCACCCCATAAAATGA